GGAAGATGTTTGCAAGACACAGGACATTACATAAAATGCATTCTATCACAGTGGCACTGAAAAAAGGAGAGTATGGGGAAAGGAAGACATAATTTACCATTATAATTGTCTGGCTGCTGTAAACACATCAATTAAAGGGTTGTTGAGCCAGCATTTCTAAGCTCCTTAAAATAATTTGGATTTTTTTTGCAGAGAAGAAACTCAGAGAACCATAATATAAACCATTGCTATGGAAACCTGACAGTTAAAATAGCTTAATTAGAAGGGCGTCAATCAAGTGAACAGTTATTTGTCAAGTGTGCAAGGCAAACTTTAAAGGCTATGACTGGGGACTGTTCTCAACAACAGGAAGTGTCATATGGGGGAGCAAGAGATGATTTGGATAGCTTTCGGTTGGAAGATGGACAGTAATTAATCACTGCAGAGAAGTTTAAAATAACTGAGATAGTATTGGCCGAATATACAGTATGATCTGTAATTTGCAGGAGCAAATGACATGGAGCCCCAGTTCCTGAGAAGGGACCTTGTCCCTCCTAGCTCGCTGTCTTGACACAGAGCCCATTAGTGTGTGTGCTCTGCGAATCTCTTCATCTCTACCTAATTACACAGCTCCTGTGTCTCTTTGCTGTTTGAACAGTACCAGAGGAAAATGATAACCTTGTAGGCAGCAAGAAATGGCACTGTAAGATATTGAGAACATATGGAAAGGCCAGACATGAAGCTCAGATACACAAAGATAGGGCAGGCTCCTCAGTGCTTCTCAGACTACTCCAGCGTAGTTATGAGAAGGGGGTCTTTACTTTTTCGTGCTAACATAATGCAGGTCCATCATTTTTCAGCCTCAAAAAAAAAAAGATGGCATTAAAATTGTCTTTTTGATCTGGAATAAAACTTCAACCCATATCATACATGAGAAGAGCCTATTTCAATTACTTTAGTTGATTGCAGAATAACATAATGTGCGGATCAAATAATACATATTAATATCCAACATTTAAATGTAGTTTGTACAGCGAATTCTGTTCTGGGGATATGACAGTGGTCTAATTTGATAATAGATTATGGACAGCGGAGTACTGGTGATCAGATTGACGTCACTATAATTGTGTTTTCTGAAGTCCCTCAGGACTGGGCCAGGAAGAGAGGCCCGAGGTGAATGTGATACGGTGAATTTGTCGAGAAAGGTTTGGTAACAAATGTGTTACACCCACACCCCCCCCACTACCTACCACCCCCATCTCCAGCTCACAGTTCTTTAAACTCCCTGACCTGCGTCTCCCTGCAGCCTCCCTGCTGGCACGATTAATGAGCTCTTTTTCCTCCAGGAGCGCAGTCGCATGTGTGACCAGAGGAAGTGTGCCGGGTTATTGGGCCCTCTCCATCATCGGCACGGGGTTCATTATCTGCTTGACTAACCCTGATGTGACGGAAGGGGGTTTGAATGGAATTAATAATCATGGTCATGGAGGTTCCTTGACACTCTTGTGTGTAGAGTCTCACATTCTCTTCTGTGAGAGAGGAGCAGTGAAACACCTCACTCTGTGCGTCTCTATTGCCTTGTTAAAGGTGGCACAAAATTCTCTTGTTACTTGTTGCCCTGCAAAGTCACCTTCAGGTAATTCAGAATTGTGGAATTCCAACTGCACAGATGAATTCCATGATCCTCCTCTTCAAAGCATCTGCTGACTAGGTCTGAACAGCAGACGTGGGTCTCAATTAAAATATTACTATCAAACCCTCTTTACCATAATGAAGTGTGGCTTATACAGTAATTGTTTGCCGGTACACATAACGTAGTCCCATGTCTATTAGCATTGTATCATTCTGAGTGGCCAGGGGTATGACAGGCTCATCCAAAGTGGAAAGTTAAAAGGCAAAACACTGTGTACCCAGCTGCAGATTAAGTTTGCACAAATGCACAACCAGTGCAACCGATTGTAAATTGATTGAAAAGGTTAAAGTGAGGTAGTACTTTTGTCATCTAATTTTGTCATCCATTTTCCAACTGCTTCTTCTAATTCAGGGTTGCAGGGGAGCCAGGTCCTATCCCTGCAAGCAATGGGTGTAAGGCAGGGTATACCCTGGACGGGAACCAGTCCCTTTCAGGGCAAACAGACACAAACACACACCACAGCCAGTTTTCCCAGAAGTCAATTAACCTACCAGTATGTTTTTGGACTGTAGGAGGAAACAGGAGCACCTAGAGAAACCCCACAGGTACATATAACGAACGAGCAACATATATGAGCCCCCCAGATCCAAAATTGAACCCAGGGCCTCAGCACTGCAAAGTAGCAATGCTAACTAGTGCGCAACCGCGCTGCTCGGCAGTTTTGTCCTGGCTTAGTTGAAAAAAAAAGCACACAGAACAAGACACCATCCTTCAGTACTCCCAGACATACAGTATGATGCAAACCTTGCAGTCTTCACTGGGACTTGCCACTTCTGAACTACAGGGGTCTGTCTAACTGGTCCTGCCTAGCAGAGTCAGTGCCATAGCAACCCCAGTTTGCTATCAATTAAAAGGTCATTTTTCCTGGACTGCTTTCACTTCTCCAGGGATACACAACTCTCACACCTGCTGGGGCTTTACGCTGAGGTATGATAACTGTAATGCAGGTTTTAGCATTCAGTGTGGAGGTCCACATTTGCTTAATGAATTTAGTGAGATGCTATGTGTGGTTTTAAACACAAACATGACGCAAGTAAGATATTAACAAAGGGATGCAACCACTTTACAGGGTAGCATTACCAATGTTTAATTCTGATCTGTAATCTACGTAGCTTTAAATGTGGAATTGCAAATAATCAGAATTGTTTCATTATGGAACAAATGCATTTGTAAAATCTTGATGTTCTTGTTGTCACAGATCTTGTTGTTCTTGCATCAAAAATAAAACAACTAATCCAGCTAACATTGAGCCACTGTGTCTATTTATACTGATACACTATCTTGTTAATGGCTTATTCAACAGAAAGTTACAACAGAGTTCAAAACCGTATGTGCAAAAAGCAGAAAAAGTCACATATTAATCTACGTTGCATTGCCTTTTAATGCCTTTATAATAAAATGGAATAATTGGGGAACTCTATTAATCTCTTTCAAAATACGAGCGAAGAAACTACAGAAATAAAAGGAAAGTTTGCCTGCTTTATAGAAAGAAATGAAAACCTTAAACTAACTAATCACATAGTTCAATTCTAGGATCATGATAAAGGTTTGCATGCCCTGCGTTCTATAAGAAGTCATTCAAATATTGGTCATACTTATCATTCTTACAGAATTAATTAATACCCCCTTTACAATGATTTTTAAACATCTTTAGACTTTCAAATGGCTCAAGTGTTATCTTGGAACTGTAAAAAAAGGTTTCCAAGACCAAACAGAGATTTCAAATCACATAAGGCAGACAGATTTTTCAAATGACTGACTCATCTGACATTTCCAACAAGCTGTGAATTCAATCACAGTAAAACTGCACTGACCTACAACTTTTCTTTTATGCATCCAAAAGCAGTGGCTTAAAATATGCTACATTTCCTTTAACAAACACATAGTTTTTAATACTTATTTTAGATATTAAATTGTTCTATACAAAAAGCTGTCTTTATATGGATTCTGGTTTTAAATTCACCCTGCAGCAACTATTGGGGTGATCTGGAGGAGCTTTTCTGCTGTCCAAGGAAGAAGTCACAACACCAAATAATTTCTATTTCCACCATAACTGCATTTCAAAAGGTGATTTGTAGTACACAATCGCAAAAGTACTTAATACTCTTCTTATGTCAGGTGTGATTATCTGTTGCATCTCTTTTCTGTAGAAAAGAATAGTCCCACAAAAAAAAAACATTTCAATTATCATTGTTTTTTAAAGGAAGTAATTGTTTTTTTTACAGGATATTAACTAGATAACCTCTGTCTGAAGTAAGCATCCCTTCTTCTGGTTATTCATCTGCTAGACAGATGATCCAATAAAAAACCCCTTTTTCATGTTCCTCAGTCTTATTGCCTGTTGCTCCCTGTGCCACAGTTCCTCAGTGTTGTTTTAGTGTAGCAGTAAGTGCAATTCAAGCAGGCTGCAGTTTGCCTTCTTTTATGTGGAACAGCTAGTGCATAATTTGAGTGTAAAATAACAATGAAATCAATGTGTTTTTTTATAAATGGAGAATTGTATCTCAGAGCATGTTGCAATGATTCATTCTAAAGCAGCATGTAGTAAAGGTACATTACAAAGGGCATTAAAGAAAATATAATAAAGTCATCTGCCAAAATAAATTGTGTAACGAACTATAAGGTAAAGGACTCGAGCTTTTCAGAGGCTACACGCTAGAGAAGCTTGTCTCTAGCTGCCCATAAATTCACAAGGTACATTTTTGTTTTGCTAACACACCATTAACGCACCATTGAAGATCACTTCAATGTTTCATGCTAGTCACCCAAAAGAACAGGTAGGGAAAGTATTCACAAGTGTCCAACGAAACACAAAAAGAAGCACGAAATTACAAGTGGAGAGAACTGTCTGCAGAAGCTCATGTTTTCTGTGACAGCTCTATCCCCCTCTGTCTCAGACCTGCAGAATTGGAGCTGTAAAATTTTAAGAGCACAGTGCTCTTCCCTGAGCATACTTTGAATTCTAATCACAGCGAAGCAAGCAATAGAATGCTGTAAATGGTGCAATATTTAGGTATGGGATTCACGCAATAAGATCGGTATTTAAAAAAAGATGCTACTGTATATAGGGGATTTGTTCTCACGCAACTGTGCCTGTTCCTCTGTTCCAAACTTTACCCTCTTTTCCATTAAACCCTCCTTCCCCTTTTCATTTTTCAGTCACGGTCATGCTCGCTTTCCCACCTGTGCTCTGTATTAATGCACCTGTCTTCATCCTATTGTCATCTGTCTTTGCCTCCTTCGTCTAACTCCCACCCCCTCTTGCGTTTTCACCTACTCTCCCTTCTCTCTCTCCCTCCAGCTCCCTCTCTCCTCCACTCTTTTCTCCTGCTGTCACTGCAGTAATGTGCTTGCAGCCTGTAGCCCCCTTCTTCTCATCAGATCTAGTCGTCCCTCAAGACAGCCCCGGCTGTTGGGACTATGCAGCAGAGCAGACAGAGCTGCAGACCACAGGACCGATGGACAGAAACCCTTGGGTGTAAAGGTAAGAGCAAGGATTTTTTAAAGCTATTTAAAACACAGCAAAAACTGGCTGAGAAAAAGGGGATCCAAATCAAATACTTGCGATTAGAACAGATTTCAAGACTATGAACTCAATACATAACACAAACACAGAGCCTGCAAGTTACTGAACTTAGCTTTCGTCTTAAAAAGCTCTCAGATATACAAATTGCTTCTGTGGTGTCCTGTCTGTACAGCTCCTTTGCCTTATTTCTTCCATTTCCTCAAAAATAATCTCTTATTTCTTCCATTGTCAGAATCTTGTTTATGTTTTGAGAACGCAGAATCTTTAGTCTTCATCAAAAAATGCCTATTTAAAACAGAGACTTATGCAGAAGAGTGTAATGTACCACAGTCGGATTTATGCAGTTGCTGTAATCTACAGTCTGAAAAATCAGCATTTTAAAAAAATAAATTACGTTTTAATCACACTCACCACAGAATGTTAGCAAATTTTTGTCCAAATTAAAAAAAGAGAAAAAGTCACTTAAAGGTAGACACCAAAGACACAGACGGTTATCTCTTTTCAGTCTTCCTCACCTTTCTCTGCCAGTGCCCATCTATTTGTATGGTATTACTCTTGAGTCATCACCTATTTTCAATCCCAATTGTTTCAGGATGACTTCTGAATAATTTAAAAGGTTCTGCAAGCAGGGGCTGAAATAATGACACTGTGATCAAGCTTCAGTGGTTTGAAGACTTTATAAAACGGGTTTGCCTTTTCTAGTCAAAGCTATATTCCCTCAGAGAGCTAAAGATCAATAAACTGGCACTTTAAAGCTTCAGATTTATTATTGCCAAAGTATCAATGAAATCAATTAATGATGTAATTAAACCAAGTGCATATCTATGTATAAAATAAACTTTTACCTATGCAAATGACTCTTTCTGTGCACTAAAGATCAGTTTTGAATTAACATCTGCAAATCTACTCAGCTTGTATTGTTGCATTGATACACTGACATTGATAAGACTGAATCCATGAATCACTTTTGAGTTTCATTCTTGCATGCCAAAATATCAACTACATCTTCTTAGACAAAGCAGCTGCCAAGACCTCAGCGTTATGGCATTGGAATGAAGCAGTGAACCAACTGTAAAATCTCAGCATAACACCAGTTTTTCAAGACATCCAGTCAATTGTCATTAAATGTAGGCTATAACAACAGTAGCAAATAATGAACTATCAGATTTGTTGATCAATGTGGCAGCTCTTTGTACTAACTTAATTGTGAGAAAGCTAGCTTTGGTTTGCTTGTCTTTAAATCCCAAGACACTTAACTGAAAAGCTAGAGTATCTCATTAACTGGGCTTTAGTGTTTAAAGCATATGAACCAAATGTTTGTGTTTCAATGGAAGAAAACATTTTCTAGACATGCATGAATTGCATTGTACTAATGCTGCACATTTAGAAAATGTGCAGATACTGACCTCACATAATGTCTGGAACCTTCCTGCTCTAAAGATCTTGTTTTGCATGTCAACATTCATCATAATAACAACCTGTTATGACCACAGACATAAAACCACCTGAAAGACTGTGAAACATGCAAGAGTTATAGTCTGTCTGAGGGATTTGACCGAGTATTGACCGACTGCTGGTACAGACTACATGTTCCTTTGTGCTAGGAATACTATATATATAGGTATATTTACAGTATATAGGTAATACATCTAAGAATGCAATTTCATTAAAACAAAAATGTTAATTCTACCTGGTAAAAGGTTCTCTTATTATTAGTTTGTTTAACTATAATATCTGCAAAAATGTAACTGGCTTTGTCTGACATTTTATTAAGAAGTGGGGCCCTTGCCTACCTAAAAGTACAGCATTGTCAAAATAAAATGCTAAATCAGCCCACTGTTTCAAACTGAAAGCAGAAAGAATCTTTCTTGTGTCATGCATCCAAGTTAAAACCAATCAGTGAGTTCTGAAAATAGATGATTAAGGAAAGCATGAATGTGTTTATAGTATATTTTCTTTTGATACAGCATGCACATGTTGCATTGAAAATACTGCATTGTAATGTGCTACCATGCTGTCAAATTGCAACCGTGTTGTACATGTCAGTGTACTATCAGTCCAGGCTGTGTTGAGGCAGCCTGAATTCACACATGTGTTGTGTGAGGTGTACATGTTTTAGGCAGTAAATTGTGACACATTTGGTGTGCAGCAGTAAAACATCCTTCACTTAAGTGCATTATCTCTGCTGGTTTGACCAGTAAGGAGGAGCTCCTGAACATAAAGAACATAAAACTTCTATTCCACACACACTTGACAATGAGTCGCCTGAGGCGGAAACGGTATTTGTTTTCATTTTGGAAAGTTCCCCAAAGCCCGTATGGTCTGCAAACAACACTCCTGACATCCTTCAGTACAGTATAGGTACAAACAGGCTCAGAGTGAAAAACAGGAAGGGACATATGAAGGTAAATGCTGAAATGGAGACTAGATGGAGCGATAAGGGACTGAACAGCTGAAGGGGAGAATTCTTGTCCACCCATCTGTTATCGTGAATGCTGCTCTAATTATCTCTGAGGCTCTTAGTCTGTATGTGCTCTTTCCCTTCCCCCCAAACCTCCTATTCTCATTGGCTAAACACAGTCAGCTCCATTGCACGTACACTCAAAAACATCATTTTTAAAATTTAGATTATAGAGGTAGTTGGTTGAGGCTTTTCTTCTAACCAGTACATTTCAGGCTGTAATCCCACATGGTCCCAAACTACAGGTTTTCCAAACATTAAATCAAAAATCTATATAAAACCCACAACCCACCCCATTTATTCTCAAGTCTGTGAGAACTCTTTATCAATATATCAATGTCCTGGGTGCTACTGTATGAGGAGCTTTCAAGAGGTCAACAATGTTGTCCTCCAGGTTGAGACACACAAAGCAACAAAGGAAACAGGGTGAAAAGGTGGAAAAACTACCAGGCGAAAAAACTGTACACATCAGTAAAAGGCAGTGACTGGTAGAAGGCCATCTGGCTCTGGTAGTCTTTAACTGACAGAAGGGACATTATGCCGTTTTCTGAAAGCTGACTGATAAAGCATTATAATGATGCAACAAATCATTAAGTTGCCATCAAAATGAGCAACACTCAACTGTCTCATCATCAGTAATTACATTACTGTATAACACATAAGAAAGGTTGTGCACAAGAGGAGGACTTTCATGCACGCTATGCACAGCCCTGGTCCTGGAGAGCTCCAATCAAGTTATTCTCCCTGGTCACCGAAAAGTACCAGTTATTGAAAGATTAGGAGGACTTTTTTTAAGGCATAAAGGCACCAGTAAAGTTTCAAGTAAGCACTGGTCCTCAAGGGATGAAGGAAATGTTTAGATCCAAATGATCTCCATTAAAGTCATTGTAGGTGAATCATTCTAAGCCTTTAGAAACTGATAATTCACAGACATTAAAATATCTGCATTGAGTAACAACTTGTATTCATGTTATACACAGTAATATTGTAATGAGTAACAGGTTATGACTATAAACCTCTGGCATCCAAGTAATACAATATATCAGAATGTTTTAGGGTCAATATATGCAGGACACACTCTTTAATATGTAGATAACATTGATGTAAATTTATATATCAGGTTATATATTATATATCAAATTTATATTTTATATTATATAATAGATATTACAGATATTAAAATATCTGTATCTGCCTGTGGAACCTGCTTGGCCAGGTCCCTCCAGGTCGAGAGTTAAAGACCCCTGATGTAAATTTGTACTACAGTATATGTCACAAGGGAATACTGGAAATTTACATCTATGTTATCTACATATTAAAGAGTGTGTCCTGCACGTATTGACCCTGAAACACTCTGATATATTACTTGGAAGCCAGAGGTTTCCAGGCTTTACCTGTTTCTTCTTACAATATTACTGTGAGTAACATGAATCCAAGTTGTTACTCAAGGCAGCATTTCCTTATGGTAGGTATTCGTAGCTGTTCTATTTTGCAGCTAGCAAAGTCTTGAACTAAAAAAAAAAAATGGTGGTATCTGATTCCTCTCTTTCCCTCTTTTGTTTTTCTGTGGTTTAGCAGACTCAGAAAGGCCATGATCGCCCGGCCTAATGCCACGCTCACCAGCCCCCTGGGTGACACCAGGACCTCTGAGGACGTGCAGCGGTCAGAGTGCGTCTTGGGATTCTTCCCTGTCATTTACTACAGCGCCCTCCTGTGTGTTGGAATGCCAGGTACAGGCAGTCAAATTGCTACTGAAAAAATTTGCCCCCTGCTAATATAGGATAACACTGCCAATTTCTAAGCTTACTCCGTTTTGTCAAGAAAACGGTTCATTAAGTGGATGGATGGATGGATCAATAGAGAAAAGGTTCAGATTTCTCCACTGTGCTTTGTACAAGGGCCCCCTTAAATTCATGGCTTTAAATCATTGCTTTGACACTCTAATTCCCTGTTCATCTGATGCCGAACACCCATCATCTCTTCCCATCAGGGCTTTGCATTTCTGCAGCCTGCTTTGCATTCTATCACTAGCTAGTTAAGAAATATGATTACTGCTTCCTTTGTGTGGCGTTTCAAACATAAGGTGATCTTATCACGGCGGCGAGTTCCACTAAGTGAATCAGTAATTCATTTCACTGGAAGCATCTTGCAGTTAATGAAATGTATCTTGTCCATGATCGTGTTCTCAGCCCTATTTGTTGTATTGGATATACAATTACTAGTACCACACATTTACCAAACTCTGGGTTTGGGCATTGGAGCTAATGGTGAAGCTGGAATTGACCCATCTGGATTTGGTTGTCTTAAATTGCAGTTTTTGTGTTCTGTAGATGGTGACCTTTTGAAGCCAGCAGTAGGTGACCTACAATACGTGGGGCCTAGGGCATGATAGAAGTGAAATACACTTGTCAGACACATAGTGATGGCAAAAAAGCTCATGTCTGTAGGTTGAGCTACAGATTTGTAAAAGTACCCAGGGGATAATTGCTACTCAGGGATCAATGAGCCATGTTGTTGAAAAGGGGGAGGCTTGAATTAATATTCCACATCACAGTCTGTTACACATTTATGTTCTAAAAAGTAAATAGAATAAGAAAAATCTAATAATGCACCTCACCCTAAGAGAGTAAATTCACTTCTAGGACTTCGTCTGATTTGCTTTCCTTAGATGTGAACTTTTAATTACCAAAAAGACTTGTTAGAATGTGAATTTTCACAGCTCATACAAAATCAGTTCTAACACATTTTTATTTGTTTGAGGCCTTTTCCTATGCATTTCAGAACACCTGCTGGACTCCTGTATTTCATTTACACCATGTGGTTGTGATTCAATTTTTTTCAAATTGATATTGGCAAGCAAGATCTGCAGAGGCTGATGACCGGTGTGTCATCGTGTTTACCTTTCTCCGTCCTTCTCTTTTCTTGGACGATAGTGAACATCCTGACAGCGGTAGCTTTATCCCGACTGGCGTCCCGCACCAAGAAATCCTCATACCTGTATCTGCTGGCGCTGACGGCCTCGGACATCCTGACGCAGCTCTTCATCGTGTTTGTGGGTTTCCTCTTGGAGACTGCCATCTTCCACCGCAAGGTCCCCGAGCTGCTGCTGCACTCCGTCAGTGTGATGGAGTTCGCCGCCAACCACGCCTCTATCTGGGCCACGGTACCCCTCACTGTGGACCGCTACGTGGCTCTCTGCCACCCTCTGCTGCACCGGCAGATCAGCTACCCTGAGAGGGCCAGGAGGATCATCGGGACTGTTTTCATTTTGGCCCTGGCCTCTGGAGTTCCTTTCTACTGGTGGTCAGATGTGTGGAGGGTCAGTCATGCGCCCACCAAACTGGACCAGGTGCTCATCTGGACCCACTGCACCATTATTTACTTCCTGCCATGCAGCATCTTCCTGGTGCTTAATTCGCTTATCATCTACCGCTTGAAGAGCCGGCACCGGAAACACTGTCACGAAGAGTGCCAGCAGCAGGTGCCCAAACGCCTGGGGAAAACCACCGCAATACTGCTGGCTATAACCTCTGCCTTCTCCGTTCTGTGGGCCCCGCGCACGATCGTCGTGATCTACCACCTCTACGTCTCCTCTGTCAACCGCAACTGGCGGGTGCATCTGGCCTACGACCTTGCCAACATGCTGGCCATGCTCAACACCGCCGTCAACTTCTTCCTCTACTGCTTCGTCAGCAAGCGGTTCCGATCGGCGGTCCGGGACGTTCTTTTCGGGCGGGGGGGTCCCTTGCCGCCGCACCTCCCCCTGCACCAGCACCAGGCTCCCTCAACCGCCTCGCACTGCTCCTCGTCCTGCAGCTCCACGCGGTGTCCCAGCCGGGACGCCGGCCTGCCGCCACCCAAGAGGACAGCGTCCACGCAGTGACCACCAGCCCCCCCCCTTCCTCACCCTTCGTATCAAAGCACTGCAGCGCCGAGGATCCTGTGAGATCAGCGCCAGCAATCATCCATTGAGTGGCAATTGTTGTTGTTTGGCAATCGGCATTAGTATTCGTTTGTAATTAATTTAATGTTCGATGTAAATCAGAACACATTTCCATGATATACTTGGTACCCAAGCAATGGTGACATAAATGCCTTTTTACTACTGTCAATAGGTACAATCTGTACCTTAACATTTGTGTGCGCTATAAGTACAATTCACATGTACACTACATGCCTCAAGTTGTGTGTTCCTATAGAGGAACATGGACAACTCAGAATTTTGAGACATATACATCTTGTAGCAATATATTTGAATACAGTATTGATTTTTTTTAAAGGATAACAAAAGGTTTACTTATGACTAAGAGGGGTCTTATGTTAATTAATCAGTTTGTAGTTGCCCGATATTAAAGTGAAATTATATTTTAAAATAATCCTCTAAATGAATTTCAATTAAGCGTGTCAGCTTTTATTGATTCATAATCTACATCTTTCGGCGGAGTTTGGTTTTGCAGTTTTGGTCCAAAGTTTTCATGTCACCTGAATGTGTATGAGCACAGTGTTCAGCTCGTTGGAAAATCCTTTACTAACTTTGGGAAACCAAGCTCCCTGGTTAGTGTTAAACAATAATTGATAGGTTTTTAATTCAATCAAGGCTTCAAAAATAATTAAAAGCTCTGCAGAAAGAATCAAAGTTACACAAGATAATAAGTCTTTCTGCAGATTAAATTGAATGGGATATTGACTTACTGTCACCAAACAAACGTCAGCCCCTGTTTGTAGGTTAGTTATCAATTCCTCTCCACTCCTTCTTTTGCAGAACGTCCAGACTTACAAATCTGTAAGCAGAGATAATCAAAAATTCTGGTGTAACTTTTTATTTTTTAAATGACCATTAAAGTCATATATTGACTAGTCATACAGTTTAGAAATCATTAAGTTCATATTGCTACATTTGTCTTTACTTTGGTATTCATGACA